ACAGGCACTTAAGACATAATAGAAAGTTACTATTGCTAAGATATGTTACACAGCAGAAATTTACTGTTGCAAGACACAACAGCAGAACACTACTGTTGCTGAGACACATAACACAGCAGAACTACTGTTTCAAAGCAACATAGCAGAATGCTACTGTTGCCAAGATGTTACATAGCAGAAACAAAGCTTTGTAAATAGGGAGGGGTAAATGGGTTGAAGGGAAGTGAAGGGACTGGGAAAAATAGAGAAATCTAAATATATCATGTACAGTCACAGATTCCCTATGATGAATATGATCATTATGTATACCTAAAATGTACCAATAAATTTAATTATATAAAAAGATAAAAGACCTAAATGTTAAAAAAATGTTAAACTTTCATTAGACAATGTAGACAAATATCTTTATGTCTTCAGAATATAGGGTAGCATTTCTCATACAAAAAGTGGAAACAATAAAGAACACTATTGATAATTTTAATTTTTGTTCAGCACAGCACAAACAAAGGAAATACTAGAGACCAATATAAAAAAGAAAACAACCTCCTATTAAAGTGGGCACATGTACCTGCCTGGCAAGTGTGAGGCTATGAGTTCGATTCCCGATACCAAAAAAATAAAGTAAAATAAAGTGGGCATAGAATAAGGCTATTCAGTGGAGAGGTACATCAATATCAAAATAGAAAAAAGGGGGCCGGGGATTTAGCTCAGTGGCACAGCGCCTGCCTGGCAAGTGCAAGGTCGTGATTCCCAGTACTGGAAACAAACAAACAAACAAACAAAACAAAAAAACAAAGACAAAAAAAAAATAGAAAAAAGGTGAAGACTATTCAACCTCACTGGAAAATTAAGATTAAAATCTCAGAGTAACAATTTCACAGTTAAAGGACTGGCAAAAGTAAAAGGTCTGCCACTATCAAGTGTCGGCACAAACGGGAAGGCACAGAAATGCCAAGTACTCTCGATGGAAATGTAAGTTGGTGTAACCATGGGAACACTTGGCGATAACTGCTGAAGTGAATGATGTGCACAATTCTACCATTTGGCAATGTTTTGCCTAAGTATCATCGATACACATTATTTTCCAAGTGCAGGTTGCAACCAATTTATCATTGGTCAAGAATCACTGAGTTGAGGGCAAAACTTTTTGAGGCCAATATATTTTATTTTATTTATTTATTTTCTTCTTTCTGGTACCAGGAATCAAACTCACAACCTTGCGCTTGCCAGGCAGGCGCTGTGCTGCTGAGCTAAATTCCCAGCCCCGAGGCCAATATATTTTAATGAGATACAATAGAACAGGACATGCTAGAACAGACTGAGGGCAAGGTAGGTATATTTTCATTAAATGGTTGCTTTCATTATTTACAGTGTAACCATAAAATATATATATGTAATAATTACATTTCAATATAGATTCTGGTATGGTAGATTATAACCAAAAACTTTTTAAAGCACTTCCCTTAGAGAAACTGTTATATACAAGTACACAAAAAAGTATAAAAATGTTAGCTGGGCCACTATGTAGTAGCAAAAAAATTCTTTGACAGATAATATGTCTGTCAAAGAAAAGAAAAAGAATGTTTAATTATAATCATAAAATAGAACACTATATAATTACTTTTTTTGAGATAAAGTGTCCCTATGTAGTTTAGGCTGACCTTGAACTCACTATGTAGCTCAGGCTGGCCTCAAACTTGAGGCAATCCTCCTGCTTCAGCCTCCTGAGTGCTGAGATTATAGGCATGTATCACCATGCCCAGCAACAATGACAATTACTGAATTAGAGCTATAGTTATCAACCAGGACATGTCTGAAAACAATGTTAATGAAAGCAATTTACAGAAATTATGGGCAGTATGATAATAACATTTACAGAACATTTAAAAGCACACAATTACTATATAAAAAAATCCAGGAAACAAAAATACATATATGTGAGAATAAACAACACTCAGTTCAGACTTGTGGTTACCTTTGCAAAGAAGGGACGAAATATAATGGAAAAAGGGTTACACAAAAGGCCTCAACTATATTTGAAGGGTTTTTATTTATTAAGTTGATTGATGGCCATATAAATGTTGGGAAATTATTTCCTGTTCTTTGGGGAATGTCTGAAATATTTCACAAGTTTTAAAAAGGGAAAAGCAACAAACTAAAAAGATATTTAGCTTGAAACTGATGAAATTTCCAAGAAACAGACTGTCAAGGAAACAAACAAACAAAAAACCTTTCTACATCAGAAATATCAGAGGAGTATTCTATTCGAGACATAAGTAGGTAACACATTTGTTTCACGTCCCTCCAAGATTCAGTGGATAAAAGAGTATGAATGTATAAATGAGTAAACTCGTGGAAGTTGTGGAAACGAGAGTTGTCAGTGACCGATGCCATTTCTCATGAGTTTCAGGAAGGTGGGACACTGATGGGATCTCACTGGAGGTGACACGAGCGGAAGGAAGCACAGCTGCGAGCTGCAAGGCGGAGGTGGAAGTGTTTCTGAGAGCGCCAGCGCACACCACGCTCGGCGTCAGCGTAGTCCACACAGAGAGCAGGCGTGACTGTGAGTAACCGTGCAGGTCAGGGAGGTGTGTAATGAAAAGTCTGCTATTCGATAGCTGCTCCTGCAATACTCACAACCCACCCACCCCGACTCCTGTCACACAGAAGCGCACACACAGGCATTGGTTGAAGAAATCTCCACCTGGAGCCTCAGGACTGTTCTCTAAACATCAGGGCATAAGTGAAAGCAGGGTGGAAAGTGGGTATTTTACCTAGGGCGATGTTAATAACTACAGAGGCAGAGGCAGAAGGGGCAAGGAATGGCAGTGCCACATAGCACAAAAGCAGCTGAAGTTCTTCTATCCCCCAAAGTCAGATCTCTCTTATTTCGGCAATTCTGCTGTAAGCCTGTCTTTTCCCTTCCACTCATCCTAAAGGGAAGTCCAATTTGGTAGTCAACAAGTTACACCAACTAGTGGTCATTTTAGAGAGAGATCTGATGGTTAACAAGACCTGTTCAACTGTGCAGAATATCCTGCAGTTACTTAACGTGGTCCTTCATTTAAAGATTACCAGCTATTGAAGAAAATCAAAACCATGAAAGAAAAAAAAAAAAATAGCCAAAATAATAAGTGTGATAACTGATGCTGGACCAAAGATATGGAGAAAATTGTATCTTCAGACTTAAAAGTCCTTTGGATCTTTTAAGTAAAAGAGCTTTTGAAAAAGAAACTTAAGAGTTGGAAGAAGTTTCTTATTTATCCTTCTATGTATACTCACATTTTCCTAAAAATAATTTGCACTATACTTACCATGATATATA